TGTTGGTGCTGGACTGTACCAAATAGAAAAATTAAAGATAGTTTTACTTTTATCTCTCGAATACAGAATAATGTTTCTGTTTGTAAAGTAACAAGTATTTAAGGTAAAATATTAGGTTATCCTACATAGATAAAGATAATATATGATATACTAGTACCCATTTTTATCGGATTATTAGATTTTTCTTTAACACTTGACCAATAAGATCATGGTTTATTATAAATATATTTTAGATTAGCTTTATCCTGCATGCTCTAACATCAGACATTTTTACACAGTTAGTTAAAAGAGTGGAATCTACCGAACCAAGCAATTTAAAAACGGTTCTATTTAACATTTCTTCAAGAATATCAGTTATTAAATATTGTATAATTTATTTCATAGATTCTACTTCGGACGATTTCCTATCATTGTCGTAGCGGATTTGGATCTACTCAGACAAATTCAAATTAAAGATTTCCAAAAGTTCACTGATAGACCGGTAAGAACACGCAATCTACAAAGTAATTTGAATATCACAAGTTTAATTAGTAAAACAATGTCACACATCCAGCATGCTAGGATGTTTAAAAGTGGATAATCTATAGTAAGGATCAAAGGCTTCATTAGTTAAACCATAACACTAAAATAACTGACAACTGGTTTAGAATACACCTAAGTAAGGTATAGTCATGTATGCAATTTCCATACAGGTGTTCTGCATGTAGTTGTGATACTAATATATTGATAAAAACTAGAAATAAATACGCAGAAGAATAGTAATAGTTGTATGACAAAAACCTATCTAAAACAGCTATTACAGTCGTATATCTGATATAAACGGTAAACAGTGAATTACTTAGAAATGTATACCAAATCAAGAAATAAACAAATTTAGAAACACATTTCAAGGAAACGTAATTATTAAGTGGTGAATTTATGTTATTTAAATCAAAGTTTTAATGTTTATTCACTCGGTGGCTCACTGGTAATCTTATGAACTTACAACACTAAAATTCGGGGTTCGATTCCCCGCGGAGGACAGAGAGCAGATAATCTGTTGTGAAGCTTTGCCCTAAAAACATCAACAATTTTAATCTACGAATTACTGATTAGCATGATATTAAAACAAACAACAAGCATTATGATTTTAATGGTACAAACATCTTAAACAATTCATCCATAAAACTGTTTATAAATTACCATTAGTGTTTATAAGTTAAATTTGTTAGCCTAATCGTTACTTTCTTCTTTAAAAAAATACCGTTAATTTACAAATAATGTCGATAGTGTACTTTACAGTAAAATGTTATCATTTTATTCTTCATCTTACTTTAGACGTTTTCCTTAAACGTCGCTATCTTTAAGGTAGTCGTATCTTATCCGGTACTTGCTTATCTTCATAGCTGTTTATCCTTGGAGGTGTGCAGCCAATTAAAGAGTTTAAATCACAATTGATTTTCACACGAGGAGAGCACTGGAAGGAAGTTCGCAGTCTCCTCACCCCAACATTCAGTTCCAGTAAGATGAGACAAGTAAGTATTGTTGTTAGTCTACAACTTAAACATCAGTTCAATGTAGTCTGACAACTGTAACTATCGTCAGAAACTTATTATATAAATCTACATTATCAACTTTACCAAATTTAAACACTGCTTTAGCGATTATTAAAAAATCTTCTCATCTCCAAACACTAAGATTCCACTCATGTAGAAAATATCAAATATACATCCGTATCTCTGTCTTTCTGTATACTAATCTGTCTGTCTGTACTGTCTATTCATTTATTTTTCTCTCTTTTTGTGTTTTCATCTGTCTGTCCTATGTATAGATCTGTTTCTCTGTCTTTCAGTATATATATATGTATAGATGAAGAAAGATAACAAATACAAATATAATTGTTTTAATTCTCCAGTTTTTGGTTTGTAAGTTTTTGTTTTAATTACTTATCTCAAAAACAACCAAAACTCATCAAATGTTGGTATATTATTTTATCATTTCTTCTGTTCAACTTGACTTTATACTGAATGATAGTTCAATAAAAGTAATTAAATATTCTTATTCTGTGTTAATGTTTAAATAACATTGTTAAACAACATTTAAATCAGTAATGATGTTTACATACAGATTTAGCTACAACAGTAATTATTGTTAAATCTCCTAAAGATTATTGAAACGATAACTAAACATAGATATTATTATTATTATAATTTATACACACATAAGTTTTATGTCTAATGAGTATGGCAAATATCGAAACATGTTATAATAAACAATAAACCATTTATTAACATTAGATCTATATGCCAAATTATGTGTGTAATTTTTAAGATTCATAATAAAATAATAACAATAATTTCATAATATATTCATAAATCATAATAATTTTCTGCCGCAAACTCTTTTCACGATGTCTGCGTGTTGAATATCACAATTTGAATTAGAAATCCAATTTTGATGGGAATAACCTTAACAATATTAGGGAAGAAAAAAGTCGTATTTTTCTTATTGGTTAGTCTGTTAAGCCATCCAAGCTATGTGTTGTTTCTAGAGGCAGGCCACACAGGATTTTAGGTTTTATCTACAGAAATATTATATCTAAAGAGATTATAATGTCATTGTATAGGTCGTTTGTTAAGCCACATTTTGCTGTGTTCAGGATTTTGCTCCTTACCATAGAAATAATACTGAATTGGTGAAAAAAAAGTTCAGAGGTTACTAAGGTTAGGTCAAAATTTGTGAAGTTGTTTTCTTTAGAAAAAATAAAATAAAAGAGATAGAGGGAACGTAACTGAGGCCGTTAAGATTGTTAAAAAATCGATAGTGTTAAAGCCTCCTTTTTTCGTATTTAATGGCGAGAATGGTAGGATTATAGGACACTGATATAAATTTTGGTAGGGTAGGAGTCATCTAAGACAGCTTTATTTTTCTAACAAGGTGGTTGGATTTTGAAACGGGTTGACTTCAGATGTGTTAGAAACAGTTACTTCAAGGGATGTTAAAGGGCAAGTTGATATCTGTTTGAATTATAAGTGATGACATTGAGTTTTTCAATGTTTAGTTTAATATAATGGGTAGTACGATCTAGATGGACCAAAAGGTTCCTTGTTTCTCTTTGATGTTGTGTTCCATAATTTAAGTTTACCTTTAATTGGTTTTAGGAAAATTATATCAAATCTGTAACTTTACACATAATCATATATTAATATATCTTCAATTTGATATACATATATGAATATTATAATTATGACATTTATCAATAATTAATATAGTAATGATAATTCTATACACTTATTGTATTTAATTACACAGTCTGCAATAAACTGATTTACATTTCAGATGACACCAATCATGCAGGAATGTGTTGGGGTCCTTATGGAAAAAATTGCCCAAAAAGCACAAACAGAAGAAGATTTCGATATATCCGAGATGTACCAAGGATTGACAACTGATGTCATTGGTCAAACTGCTTTTGGAATCCAGACAAATGTCCAGCAGAATCCAAAAGATCCTTTTCTAACCAATTGTAGAGCTTTTTTCAACATTCAGACTTCCGAGTTTTTCATCTTTTTATTACGTATGTTTGAGTTAGGTTTTAATTCATAGGAAAAAGTGCATTTTGATTTTTTCACTAACTGTTTATTTTTGCTATTTGTTTTTAAATGTTATATGTATCCAAGAAACAGAATGCTGTAGTATTACAAACATATCTTGTCAAAGATTAGAAAATGTGGCTTGACTGCAGTACACCCAGAATATGTGACGTCAGTATGTGACATTCAATCATTATAAAGAACTGCTGTACTAGTCTGTATAGCAAAGAAATGTTTTTTAATCGACGATCGAAAAATAAAATATCCATTCCAGATACTTAGATCAATTGTTATTACATCTATAACAATACTCGTGATATAAATACATTACACACAAATACTACATTCAAATATATACACATCGTGGTCACAAGTAAATAGACACCACCTTTACAGAAAAAAATGAACCTTTCAGTCATAATCACATGAATTGATATATTTATAATTTAATTAATATCTAGTACATCTTCCTTTCG